GATGGCAGCCACGGGCATCCTGCCCCTGTTCTGGTTATGTGTGTGGCCCTGGAGGGCACCACAGCCCTTCCGAAAACAGGTCCCAAGGGGTTGTGTCCCAGCACCAAGGGCCAGTGCTGGGACATCAGTCTACGTGCACAGTGATGCTCACGGAGCCAAGACCCAACCATGGTGGTCGCGGTGCCGGCGCTTAAGCTCGCACGGTGCCAGCATCCAGCCTCTGCTCCTGTGCTGGTGGCACCTCTGCGGGGACCTGGCATGGTTCCTTGGCCAAAGCCAGCTCTCCTGGCTGCTTGTGGCGGCTGTACCGGATGCCCACACCAACGGCCGCCAGCAGGTAGGTCACTGCCAGCAGCGTGAAGTAGCTGAAATACACATAGAACTGCAAGAGAGAAAGGGGGGAAGAGGACAACACTTGCAGCCCCCACCTTCATCCCACACCATTAAGGAACCACCTCCATCGTAGATGCCTCCCCATCCCTACCTGGGGATGCACGGACAAGCCCAAGCCCCTCTTGTCAGCCACAATGATGGTGATGATGGTCTTCAGTACAGTGGCAAAGAAGGTGTTGACCCCGAAGACCAGCGCGCAGAGCTCTTTGGAAAGGGAGGTAGCAATCTGGAAACTGGGAAAGAGATGGAGCACCAGTGAACCCCTGGTACCAGCCCCACCACTGGGGTGGAAGTGGGTCTCCAAGGGGTACCACGCACATGGCGATGGGCACGAGGAACTGGTAGGAGCCGCGGAAGAGGACGTAGGCAGCGTAGCACAGCCAGATGTTGCTGGTGGTGTTCATGAGAAGGAGTAATCCCGCTTGGAATGCCGTCACCACCCCAATCACCAGCTCTGACCACAGCGTCCAGCGGATCTTCACATAGCCAGCAGCGAAGGAGGCAAGAGCCCCTGGAGAGAGGATGAAGGATGCTGTGAACACCTCGCCAGCATGGTAGCCCCGGCCTAGTGATGCTCACCTTACTACCTCTGTCCAAACACCCCAAAAACGCCATG